AATGTCATAGGTCTTGATCAGGGAGGTAACTACATAGATTCACGTACATGTAAAAAGTCATTAAGCTGAACATGTTGGGTGAGTGCGCTTGTATGTTAAGCTTCAATAAAATTATGCAACTATTAGAAGAAAATATAGGGGTAAATGTTCATATATCTGATAAGGATTTGGTACTCAGAATATATTTTAAAATTCATAAAATTCAACAACAACAGAAGGAAACAATCCAATTAAAAATTGGCAAAACACCCTGGCCAGTTTGGCTCAGTGGATAGAGTGTTGCCCGCAGACTGAGTCGAGGGTTCAATTCCAGTCAAGGGCATGTACCTGGGTTACAAGCTCCATCCCAAGCTCCGGTTGGGGAGCATGAGAGGCAACTAGTCAATGTCTCTCTCTCACATCCATGTTTCTCTCTTTCTCACCCTCCTCCTCCCTCCCTCCCTTCCACAATGGAAAAAATATCCTCAGGTGAAGATTAACAACAACGAAAATGGGGAAATGACTCAAATAGACATTTATCATACCCAGCAAGCACATGAAAAGATGTTCATTGATCATTAAGGAACGTGACTGGTTTAAGGAAAGGCAAATCAGACACAATGAGATACCACTTCACACCTTTAGGAAGTCTTTCATTTTTAAAATGGAAAATAATAAGTGTTAGCAAGAATGTGGAGAAATTAGAACCCTCCTGCACGCTGGTAGGAATGTAAAATGGTGCGATCGCTTTGTAAAACAGCCTGCCAGTTCCTCACAAGGTTCAACAGAGAGTTCCCATATGACCCAAGATAAATGGAAACATAAGTCCTCACAAAAACTTGCATGCAGAGCATTATGCATAAAAGCCAAAAGGCAGAAACATCCCAATGCCCATCAACTTACGAATAAATAACCAAACTGGTTATCCATACAACAGAATATTACTGAGCCATAGAAAGGATGCTGATACCAGCTACAATATGGCTGAACCTGGAAAACACCATACTAAGCGAAAGAAACCAAATGCAAAAGGCCACATCTTGTAGGATTCCGTTTATACGAAATGTCCAGAATAGGCAAAGCCGTAGAGACAGCAGATAGTAGTTACCCAGGCGATGGGGAGGAGGGGGTTTTGGAGTGATTGATTAATGGGTCTGAGGTGTTTTTCTGGGATGATAAATAAAAGTTTTGATACTCCAATTTTTTGGGGGGAGGCAACCTATTTTTGGAGGCCTTGCTTTGGCAAGCTGGAAAAAAATTTTTTGAGACTAAATAGAAGTGGTGGTTGCACAACATTATGAATGCACAAAAATCCACTGAAGCGTACACTTCAAAATGGTTAATTGCATGTTATGTGGCTTTCACCTCAAATTTAAAAATAAATAAACTTCCATTTTAAAAGTGAATGGAAACTGAAAAACTAACATCACCTCCAAGGCCCCGGGGGCCCTGACAGAACCAGCTGGACGCAGAGCACCCACTCCAGCTCCTCCTTCCTCCCCTCTGCAGCTCCACGACATGGGGACTCTCGGGAAAGTGACTGAGCCCAGCTCACAGGGTTGCCAGGAGACAGGACCAGGTCTCTCAGACGTCCTGGCACCCAGGCTCCCCCACAGACCCTGCCCATAGCCCCTGGGATTCTTCCCTGGCCTCCCTGGGTGGGAGCTGTGAGGTCAGGGGCCAGGAACGTTGCTGCAGCCACAGGCGGGAGTTAGTGACTGAGGAGCTTGGAATGTGCTGCCTCTGAAAGGACCTCCTTGTGGCTCCACCGACGGTTAGAGCAGGAAGGGACTTTCAGAGCCATGTAATCACACACACACACACACACACACACACACACACGAGACCTGAGCCCCGCTCAGTCCCTGGCCCAGGCTGCTTGGGGAGTGGGCAGGGTGGTGTTTCTAGAGCAGGCAGATGGATGTAGGCAAGGCTGACCTGATTCAGGCCTTGCATGTGCCACTACTTGGCTCCCTGTGTCACCCTGACCTGTCCAGCTTGGACTCAGCCAAGGAGTCCAGACATGAGTTAGCGTGTGCTTGCGTGTGTATGCTGTGTGAGCGCCTTGGCGTGAGATCGGAGCCCCAGGGGCTCCCAACCCTGGGGCTTTTTATCAACACGTGTATTTATCTTTGCCATTTGTCAAGTTCTTACTGTATGCTAAGCACGTGGCATTATGTTATTTCTATTCTCCATCACCCTGAGATGTAATTATGATTATGTCTCCAATTTACAGATGAGCGACAGAGGCGTTGAGAGATTGTGCCTCATCAAGGTCAGAGCTGGTGAGTAGCAGAATTCAAACTCAGAACCCGGAGTTGTCTGATTCCAGCATGTGTGCTCTTTTCCATGGGTCACACTGCCTCAAAAAAATCTCTTTCTCTCTCTCTCTCTCGCTCTCTCTCGCTCTCGCTCTCGCACACACACACACACACACACACACACACACACACACACACACCTATATCATTCATTGTAAACTGCTGTTGGTATCTTTTCTTTTTCCAGGAAGATACGCATTGAGTAGAACAAGGGCAAGGGAGCGGCACCAGGCTGGTAACCACCTTCTGAGTAGCAGCAATTTACAGCTTACAGAGCACTTTCGCATTTGTGATCTCATTTGATCCCACAGCAGCCCCATGAGGTCAGCAGGAGGCTCAGTTCTTCCCACAGGGACTGGGACTCAGAGGGAAGGTCATAGAGACAGAAAATGGTAGCTGTAGGACAGGAAGCCCCGGGCCAAGCTGGCCTTCTGGTTCTAAGTCCTGTGTGTACCCACAGACCCTGCCCGGCCCTCTGTCCCCAAGGAAGACCACCTAGGACCCCCCACCCCTGAAATCTTCCACCCCTGAGGACAGAGCTGGAGCTGATCACATGGAGGAGCCCCCCCGTGGAAAGCGGGAGCCCGGCTCTCTTTCTGTAGCTGTGACGCTGGCAGCTCCTTACTCTTCTCTGGATATGTTTCCTGAGTAGAATGGGAGGAAGCAGAGAAGCTTTGGGGTGGTCCTTGCAGCCCTGACATTCTGCATGTGTGAGAAAATGTCTGTGAGAGCTTTGAAAAATCTTGCCTGAGCTGGGCTTGGAGCTCCCACCGCTCTGATATGTCAGCCTGCTTCAGCCACTCGCTCACTGATCTTAGGTGCTTCATTTTAACAACTCCCAGGCTCAGTTTCCCTGTCTGTAAAATGGGGATGATGATGGTGCCTACCTCCCAGGGTTGTTGACCTTTGGTTGTTGACATTTAACCCTGGCCTCAGTGACACAGACCGTTTTTATGTGTGGGTTTTTTTGTTGTTGCTGTTTAATGATAGACACATACTTCTCTCTTTTTTTTAAATTTTAGCTCTTTTTGTTATTGCTTTCAGAGAGAAGGAGAGGGAGAGAGGGATAGAAACATCGATGAGAATCATTGATTGGCTGCTTCCTGCATGCCCACACTGGGGATCCACTGGGGATGGAGCCCACAACCCGGGCATGTACCCTGACCGGAATTGAACCCAGGACCTCCTGGTTCATAGGTCAATGCTCAACCACTGAGCCACACCAGCTGAGGGCCAAGGATGTGTTTTTATTGGTTTGAGAGAGAGAAACAAGAGAAAGAGAGAGAAACATCAATTGGTTGCTTTCCGTATCTGCCCCCAATTGGGGATCAACCTCAAAACCTGGGTATGTCCCCTGACTGGGAATCGAAACTGCCACCTTTTGGTGAATGGGACAAAACTCCAATCAACCGAGCCGTCCCGCGGGGCAGTCACAGAGACCTTTGACACGATCTCCAAACAAGGCTGTTGACCACGCAGCCCTGGGAAGAGCACAGACAGTATTTAAAGAAGATGGTGTTTTCAGGCCAGGGGACCCCTGAGTCCCACGGCAGGTTCCCACTGCTTATCGGGGCTCTGAATTAAAACTTGTTATAGCTCCTGAAATTTCCTGTGAGTAGCATGATTATTTTGCATTGGGTTTGTGGGCAGTTCAAAGTATTAACTTGTTCAATGTAAGCATTTAAAATAACCACCATTTTTGTAACTATGGTTCGTCATTCATTTAGTCACTTTTTATTATACTTGAACCTTAAAACAATGAGCGGAAAGGCTCCATGCCACGACGTGAAACCTTGGTCGGTAGTAGTACGGTTCCTGGCATGAAATAAGCACCCATTTTAATAATAATAAGTAATAATGATAATGATAATCAGCGACATTTATAATCTACTTGATAGTTTCCAACCCCGTTCACACTCTTCATTCCAGCTCCCACGCGCAGTAGGGGAGCTACGTGAGCACTTCGTCCCATTTCACACATATAGAAACCGAAGCCCGACCTGGCGGTGAGCCGGCCGGGGGCGCCGGCCGGGATTGAAAAAACAAAACCAAACCTTGATTTTGGCAGAGTGAAGACGGAGGGAGAGGGCTGAATAAAAATGAATAGGGTCTGAGGACACATTTGTAATACCTTAACCA